TGGGAGGATCCAGCACAGGTAGACCGGGTCCTGGGAGGATCCAGTCCAGGTAGACCGGGTCCTGGGAGGATCCAGCACAGGTAGACCGGGTCCTGGGAGGATCCAGTCCAGGTAGACCGGGTCCTGGGAGGATCCAGCACAGGTAGACCGGGTCCTGGGAGGATCCAGTCCAGGTAGACCGGGTCCCTGGACGACGCAGACTCTGAGATTCAAGGCAGCCCAGATCACAGCTTGGTCTCCCAGGAGGAAGGTTCTGGTTTTTTGCAGTCCAGCTTTGCTCAAAGTGGTTCTTTGTGTTTCAGGGAGCAGCTGCACCGTGGAGCTGCTGCAGTCTGAGGACGCCCTGAACGACAAATGGAGGAACTGGGGTCTGGACTCCATGATCGAGAACGTTCACCTCATCACCCTCAAGGCTCCAAAATAAGTGCTGCAGTATGAAATAAAAGGCTTTTAACCGGGTTCCTTAGAGCATCTGGATTATTAGTAGATTAACCCGCAGATTAAGAGCCAGCAGTTTCAGAACTGGGCTCCGGTTCAATAAGCAGGTTTAACAAAGTCTGATTTTAATCTTCCGCTCTGAATTAATCTAGCCTCAGGTTGGAAACTCTGAGTTTTCAGTTTCATAAAAGTTGCTGTGAATTAGTTCAGTCAACTCTAAGGTAGTAGGTCCACTTAGAGGCCTTGTTACCATGACAACAGGCAACAGGAAGTGCCTATTTCACCCGACTGCAACTAGAAATTTAATGAAGAAATTATAAAAAAATATGGAGAATCTGTTTAAAAGAGAAACAGCCCTACAGCTGCAAAGGAAGATGGAAAAGATTTTACTGTAAGTTTTAAATGCAGTGGGCTATGGCAAGCCGTTTTTACATTTATTCAAAGCACTTTTTGTTGTTTCATTTGTAGATCACTAAAATATATTTAGATTCTTCCTGATCAAAATCCATCCTAGACTGAACAGTAATTATACATTTTCTAAATTACATTTTTGTAGCAGAAACTGAATTTCAAAAAGTAAAAAAACTAAATTATACTAGTAAGAATTAAGTGTTATATACCTAAAAATTTAAAGTGGCCGTTCTGAACGCTGCAGCTTTGAGCTCCTTCACACTTTAATTAGTTCTAACTTATGGCCAGTAGGGGGCGTCTGTTCAAAAACAATATTAAACAGTCAGGATAGAATAATACCTGATTAAATAACATATTTACAACATTTACTGCAAGGGGAATGAATTTGGTAAAGTTGCATAACATTAAACAAAACATCAATTTAAAAACTATGAACTTGTTTTGTTCGACTCAGGATTTCAGAGAAAAACAGAAGAACTTTGTTGATAAACACAAACTACTTTCTGAAAGTCAGGACATGTTTAGATCCCAGACATCCACAACTTTGGCAGCTCAGGCAATAATAGAGGAAATCAGCTAAACGAGAGAAAAAGAAGTTTAAAATTAGTCTGTAACATCAGCAGATTTGGCATTTAGGTGCACAGGTCGTTCAGAAACAAGTGGAAACGTTTGGTGGTTCCCCTCATTTAACCAAAGAAAAACTTCTTTCTGACAAAACCTGATTTTTGTTTAAATACAAATTCTATGAAAATGAACAAATAAAAGTGAGACAATGATTTTCAACCAGGCTTCACTAGACTGGATTAATAAACAAAGTCCTGAAATAGGCCTAGACTAAAATGATGGTTCCCCAGAAAAGACTGAAAATAATCTGACCAAAGGGATCAGGTGTGTCCACCAATCAGCAGCGGAGGCGTCTCCAGTCAGTGGGTCTATAAATGGACTACAGGTGTGGTAACATGGTGTGTAACACACTCAACATGGACAAGAGGAAAGACCATGAGAGAGCAGCATGTTATGCAGCTGATGTTCCTCTGGCTACAGATGGACTGTAGACCAGCTGCCTGGATGCAGCTGCAGGAGGAAAACTGGTGACAGATTCTAGGAATGGAAACTAAAGAAGCCAGAAAAAATTCCAGCTGAAGGAACATCAGCGTCCGATCGCAGCATCCATCATTGTTTGAGCCAAAGTGGACTAAATGGGAGACATGAACCAACGTCCTCTGGACAGACGAGACAAACATGGAGCTTTATGCTCATAGATGGAAAACGAAGATCAGGAAAAAAAGATTGAATCTCATGCAAGAACTGTTCCTGCAAAC